TCTGGGCTCTGAGTTCTGGCTCTACAAGTATGTGCTGATATAATGTGTGTTGGGTTTTTAGACACAGAGACAGCGTTACGTACAAAGACATGGGCGAGTATGTATTATGACTGCGCTGTATTTTTATCTGCTAATTAAACACAGACGCTCGATCGCGACCGACTCTCTATACATACACACAGTTAGAATTTAACACACACACACCAGCGCATTTGGTGTGTAGCCTGCGGCCTGTGAGTGTTTCAACGTGGCGTTTTCCTCTCGACTGGCGCTAAAAACATTTCTAAAATTTCGCTGACTGTTGCATAGTTTGCAACGTCCGAGTATTTAGATATGTATATATACACACATATGTATGTATGCACAACGTTACGATCGCAACAACTATTGTACAACCGTAACTGGTAATAAGGGCGCCGCATCGTACTAGCTGTGTTAGCCTTAGACAAAAATGTGCTAAAAGATATTGAGCGGGCAATAGGTGCTCGGTGTGGTTTCGTTTCGTTATAACGACCGTATGCAACAGATACATAATTCATTATAGCTGCATACAGTGGCGTACTTGTATCTTTGGAGCGGTACGAAGGGGCACAAGCCTCCTTTTGCCCCCTTAAGTTGTTCATTTAATGCAGAGTAGGCATTGAATGCGGAAGTAAATACGAGTATTTAAAAATATTATTCAAAATATACATTCGAAACATGAGAAAAATTGTGATATACTCGAATGTATGCCCCGATGTTTTGCTTTCTCAAGTCTTTATTTAAAGTGAAAAAATTCATGAATTCATCATTATTTATTTGACAAAGTAAAGTTATTGACTTTTTTTGAAAGTCTCTAACTTGATTCCAAGAGTCACAAACATATCAAACACAAGTGGCAATTATTTAATATTATGAGCGACTTATCGCAACTCTTATATCTGAATTATGTTGATGGTGTAAGCTGAAAAGTTTTAATTTCGCTTTTTGGATACTTCGACTTGAATGTAAATGAATTTTTTAAATACACCTAATTCTGTTTTTACAAAGTTTTGATTCAACACGGCTTGAAAATTAAAAGTTTTATATATGGATACACGACCATTTAGCACGATTCAAAATAACACACAAAAAATAAATAAAAGCACACACAGCTGACAAGCAGCTAAAAACCATTCTTATAAGGGTCGTTAAATAAATAAAATAAATCCTTGTTTTTTGACAGATTTTAAGAGGTTTTAAAGATAAGGAACCTATTACGTATCAATGTGTTTTTTACACGGTTTTTTAACACCAATCTACCGTGTAAAAACAACAGCATTAAGTGTAGTTCACTGCAATATTTATGAGTATCTTGATCAGTATAAATATGGATAAGAATATGTTTCAATGCAGCTTTCAAAATTATCTCTGCTGTTTGCAGGAATCGTAAAATTTCAAAACGTCATGGAAATTATATATATTTTTGAAATCGACGCCCCTGGGTGGGTACATATGAGTATGTCTGTATGTATATAAGGTGTTCCGTCGGCAAAGGTACACACACACACACACACACACATACATAAATACATAAGTATACGGGTATATGTATGTTTGTTTTCTTTAACAAGTTGCTATCTCTAACTGAATTTGAGTTGCGCCTGTTTTTTGTTGCCATTGCTGTTGGTGTTGTTGTTGTCGTCTCGAGCTGCAAAGATACAAACGCAGCGCAACGTGTAGAGCGTTGAAGTCGGCGGCATCGGCATCGGCACAGGGACAGGGATTGGGAATGGGAATGGGATTGCGTCCAACGTTGAGAACAAACAAAATGAGCAAAATAAGCAAATAAGCGATGACGGCGGCATCGCTTGTCCCGCTCGGTACGGCGACACCATCACCATCTACAACAACAGCAACAAATACACGTACTTATTTTTTATTTATTTACTTTTTTTTGAAAAAAAGAAGTTAAAATGAAACGAAACGAAGCAACAACAACAATAACAGCATTCGCTTAATCTAAATAGCCGTCGCGTATTATTTGAGGTTTTCCATTTTTCCCGCTCTCTCTCTCCAATCTCTCTCCTTCGCTCTCTCTGTGCTGTGTGTGTGAAATGAAGAGCACTGCAAGTCGTCGTAATAGGAAGCAGTCCCAACATTGGACATTGGAAACGTTAAAAAAAAGTAATACCACTTGCACTTACATACTATACTTACTATATATATACATAAATACTCCTCATATGTGTACATACATACAAACATATTTAGCATGTACAATAAATGAGAAAACATTTCTTGGGCCACAAAGGAGTTTGCATTTTAATAAGGGCAGTCCACGATCCGTTAGATATATATATTGAAAATGAAAATTGAAAATTATTCTCAGGTGCAAAGCACATCTACTTATTAATGGGGAAATTTATCTATCTATATCTTTTGATTCCACTTAGTGTAGTTCATGATGGCTCTTGCTTAGGTATATTTATCCTGAATTTCTAACAGTGTTTGAAAGTGTAAAGTGGAACTGTTTGAAACTTTTTTGCGCTGATTGTTCATTTATAACAAACATCACTTAACATCAAATATACTTTCAATTAACTCAACTCTTCATACTGTCGAGACTGACCAACTGACTGATTGATTGATTAGCAAATATGTCTCGCAAACTCGATCAGAGTAGGAAAGCAATGACACTGCTTTTTTATGACCTCAAATGCCCTTTTAACCGATTCGGTAACTCCAACTCTTTTAACTTTTCACACTGACATATTGATTGATAACCAAACATATATAGGTTTTTACTTTCTAGATATTTCGTATTAAGAACTGAATCCTAGCCGATGCTATTATCCGACCACCTCTTATTCAATTCTTGAGTACCAACATGCTAAGGAACATTTAAAAATGTGCACTATTCTTTTCAGTATGTATATATTTCAAGAATATTTTTTTCATCATAATAGATAGTAATAACAGATCTTTTCTATACTTAAATATGATTTTCATTATTATTTAGTATATATTTTTATAGAAATTTAAAATCAATGACATCTGGCTGTGTTTATACAAGTAACTCTTTAATTTGTCCGAACATAGAAATTATTCTGCAGTATTACGGCCTTAAGGAAAGAAAAACCTCCATTAACGAGTTATTCTGAGTATTTAAGTATCCTCCTGACAGCCTTATCTGGCAGTCGTTCGCAATTCGTCACCTGCAAATGTTATTTTTGTATTCATATACAACAGCGTTGAATAATAATACAAATATGTCACGTTCATAAAGCTCTTTAAATAAAAGGGGTTGATATCATAGAAAAGTTTCTCAGGGAAAATATACCGCTCAGTGCGTGTAATCTTCAAAACTAAAGGGCTGGTAAGAAACTAAAAAAATCAAAAAACCATAAAAGTAGTTGGGATGCGGAATGTACTTCCTTTTCGAGATGATGAACGACGCGTCTGTTTATCAATTTTTCGGGGGTTTCTTCAACTATATACTTATAGCACTTACTCACAATTAGTCTGCCTCCTTTCTTGAAGGAAACTTGGTTCGATTGAAGCACACAAAACGTTTATCGTCTAATCGGTTCTATATTGGTGTCAAACAATCTCCTGGAATTAGTATTTGTTGTTAGGAATAAAAAAAAAGTATGAAATGTAGGCTTCTTCTCATTACAACTATTGTTCCTATTATTAATATCATTATTGATATTCTTATTTAGCAAATTTGTACGCTTATGAATGAAGACTTAGCTTCACAATGTTCTTACATATCATATTTGTTATTAGGCCTGCGAAAGTTTTGATGGGAGTATTAATGATGAGCTCCAATTATGGTCCAGCCATTCACCTCAAATTTATGACAGATACACTTAAGGTATGATCCGATAAGGAAATAATTTGTACAGAAGTCGCAAGTACATCTCGAACATAATCCTACATCAGCTGAAACCATTAGCAATTCTATATATGTATGTATATTCTATCTAACTTCTTTGGTTAACTTTTAAAGAGCTTAAAAAATAAAAGTCTAACAATATTTTTTTATGGAAAGGTAATTAATACTTTGACAAATCATATTGTAGAATACGAATAATGGCAAAAACCAAATATGAATCGCTGTAGGAACGATACATTTTAATGAATTGTTTAAAAACCCAATACTCTTCTTTTAATATTCTATATTTTAAAATGTGGGAGTGTTTTATGCGTTTATTTATTGAGAAGTTGAGAAAACGCAACGGAAAGATTTGTCATAAATACAGACATTTTTCGAAATTATCAAATGCTTTAATAAACATAATAAAGCTTGGGAAACACTAAGAAAGACGAGGTGCATTGAAATATGATAAGACCTATGTATGTGTGTACATATTTATGTGCTATACAAGTATGTACATATGTATGTTTGTCTATTTTGGTTAAATGAAAGCGATTCAATTGTAACTTCATATTGTGGCGAAGAACGGCCGATTTTAAAGTGGAACAAAGGACGCCTCTGTGGCTATTATGCAACAGTCTTGCTAGGCTGATCGAGTGCTATGGTAGTCGGCATGGGTCTTACGATCGAAGTGTCTCTCTGTTGAGGAAATTGCTGACGAGGCGGCAGCACTGTGGCCGACAGGAGCAGCAACAGCAAAAGCAGAAACTAAAGTCAGAGTCTGAGCAGAGCAGCGACAGCGACAGCGGCAGCGGCAGCCATTACCGATGTCGCACACACACACACATGAGCGCAGCAGTATGACCAATGCAGCGGACGCCGATCGTATCACACACACGCACACACACACAAACACAAACACACATACTCTCACAAATTGTTGCACTGCTCCGCTATCGTTTCGAGTCCCCCCTCTCTCGCACTTCAACACCGTGATCGTGTGTGTGTTGTGTGTGTGTGTGTGTGTGTGTGTGTGTGTGTGTGTCAACACGATCGTTGCGCAGCGAACGTCGCGACTCGCGCCTCGCGACCAGCGACAGCGTTTTCCCCCACGACGAACTGCACGTTCTGTTCACTCGTCGATCGGTCGTGTTGCGGAGAAGACGTCTGCGGTGTTTGCCGAATATATCGTATTGGGTGTGCCGGTTGTTGTTGTTGTTGCAGTTGTAGCTTTAGCCGTAGCTGGGCCCTTTGCCGGCTAGTCTAGCCAACGGCATTGCCGATCGATCGCCCGCTCTGTAACTCTGACAGTAGAGCACAATTGTATATATATATTAATTTTTTTTTATTGTTAAAAGCTTAAACGTTTTAAGTGTTAAACGCGTCGCAGTCGGCCAACAAACACAGCGTCGACAGTTTATCGACGACTGCCTGCGCCAACGCTTCGTCCAAACTCCGTGTCGCGTTGCCAACTGCATATTCAAAATAAACTCGTCTTTTTTTTCAATTTTATTTGCATTTTTTTCTCAATTTTTTTTCCTGTAAACAATTTACACAAACCTCTCAGTGAGCCAGAGGAGAAAAGTAAACTCGTGCTCGAAAGTGTGAAAATAAATTGGGCATTTTTGTTCAACCCCCCTGATGTAAGTGCAAGCTGTTTATTTTTTGTATTTCAACTAGAACTTATAACAAAAAAAAAAAAAAAAAAAAAAAAAAAAAAAAAAAAACAAGGTGATGGTAATGGTTGACGTTAACTTGGCTCATATCAAAAAAAGGTACAGATAACATTTTTTTTTTTTGCCGGCGGCTTCAGCAGCGACGGCGTCGACGTCATTCGTTGACGTACTCGGTTTTGTTGCCGCCTTGACTTTCGACTTTTGTTGACTTGACGACATCTTCTCTTATTAACTATGTAATTTCTTTTTTGCTTTATTGCACTCCATACTACACTAAATTATTATTTTTTATTATCATTATACATTTACGCGCGTCGTCGTCGTCGCTCTGTTGCTTTTCTGTCTCCTAATGACAAATTACTAGACGGGTGATATTGGACTGGGGTTCGGGGAGCGGGGCAGCTACGGAACCTGAGCCCCCACCATTGGCTTGACGGGCAAATTGCATGTTCGCTCAAATTTTGTTTTTGCTTTCGCAAAATTCTCGGTACTGCTCGTATTTGAATTTTGAGTATAAAGATCTTGAGCTTCACTCTCTAGAACAGAGGCTTGTGCGGTTTCATGGAAAACGTAAATCCCAACGTGCTCTTCAAAGGGCTGCTACGTCTGTGGGTTCACAGATGTGTGTATTATCGACAACTTCAAATCAATCTGCGATGAATCAGCTAGTAACAAGTTATTCACAACGAATTGTACTTTAACACGCTTACATTTTTAGAACTTTTGAATAATCAGCAGCAAGTGTTATATGGAATCAAAACTTAATTTTTATACCCTGTACCCAAAGGGTACAAGGGTATATTAGTTTTGTGCGAGTGCACATGGAACACACAGAAGGAGGCTTGGTAGACCCCACAAAGTATATATATTCTTGATCAGCATGACAAGCCGAGTCGATATAGCCATGTCCGTCTGTCCGTCTGTCCGTCTGTCTGTCCGTCTGTCTGTCTGTCTGTATGAACGCAAGGATCTCCGAAAGTATAAGAGCTAGAATAACCAAACTTGGTATACAGATTCTCCTGAGACCGAGAAAGGACGAGTTTGTTCATTTTTTCTGATCCAACCCCCCACTCCCCCCCTATTACCGATTTTTTATAACTCCCGTAATTCTTAGAATTTTGAACTAAAATTTGGAAGTCACATTAGGTTAGTAATTATTTATCCGTATACCAAGTTTCATTATAATAGAATGATCGGAAAGAAAGTTATAGCCATATAACCAGGCCCAATGCACACATACATACATATGTACAAGTACACAAACACGCATAAGGCACGATTCTGATGTAAATGTATGTATGCATGCATGGAATATTTTATATTTAATTTAGTTAATTAATTAAATTAAATTAGTTAATTAATTAAATTAATTTAGTTAATGAATTAAATTAATTTAGTTAATTAATTAAATTAATTTAGTTAATTCATTTAATTAAATTAATTAATTAATTTATAATTTTTTGTGGGGTGGTACAGGGTATTTAAGAGTTGAGCCTGCTCGACTTTAGCATTCCTTTCTTGTTAAAACTGAAGCAAGTAAAAAATATATACAATATATATCCGTACATCGGTTGATTGATGGGATTGTTGATTTATTTTATCCGCAAAAATAAATTTTAGCGCGTAAAACGTTCCTTGTAATTGCTACACTTTGTTTCTCATAAACGGTTTCGTTTTCGAGGTAAGGAACCAACAATAGTCCATATTCTAATACTAGATTAATTGTTTAGGGATTTAAAAGCAAGAAGTTCTTCATCTGATACGAGAGTAGCAGCGTAACAGGTTTGCGTAATGTTCTTCCTCGAAAACGAACACTTCTTGTTGAACAGGAGCGGAATTTCTGTATATCAACCAAATAGCATACATGGGGGAGCTGATATATAGCAATGCATGGACTTCTTAGTAGCGAACTATGATGACTCAGTATTCGTTCGATACAAGCCGGAACACATTATTGGAACTTATGAAAATCGCTTGAATATTGAAAAATGCTGGCATAGACTTCTTAAGAAATTCTTATCGAGCTTGTAATGTACTTGTATTTGTGAAGTGTTTCTAAATATGCCCGAATTCGCTGGAATTCGGCCGACTTTGCCGTAATTATAGTTGTTTTTTGATAATAGCCCAGATCGGATACTGATTCGACTAGACACGGCATCGAAATTTTTAATAAACCCCACTGGAAGACTACGATACGTAGAAGATATTTATAAGATAGTAAAGTTTATTCCTTTCTCCCTATATTTAATTTCATATTAACTCGTTTTTTGATATTTTTTTATTTTATTGTGTAAACAAAATCGGCATTTGCTGCGCCAAATGCTTGACTGCCTGCGATAAGATAAGGCCAAGAACGGCGTCAAGTCGCAAGACTAACAAAGAGTTGGCCAGCAACATAAACCGGCATTGTTGGCGGTTGTGTTGTTGTTTGCGGCTCTTGAAACAAATGAAATTAATTATTATTTCAATTTGTTTATACTTTGATGCTTATATTTATATTATTAGTTGCCTTTTTGCTGGCCTTATCTGCGACATCTAATCGCCTGTTAGTAATTTGTTCAAGGCAGCAGCAGCACTCAGACAGCCGGTTTGTGCTGTGCACTTGGCCAGCAATTGCAGCTCAATTAGCCAGGGTGCGCATCTTGGCTAATTGGCCAAAGCTAGCATGTTTAGCATGGTTAGCATGTGTGTGCTCAACTCAGCTGATTTACAGCACATTTCTCAAGGCGTCATGACAGGCAGTTGACCTGCAAACCTGAAGCGGTCGCAAGGCTGTTGTTTTTGTTGCTTTTGTTGTTGTTGCTATTGCTATTGCTTGTAGTTTTGACAGCCATTGTGTTGTGGGGCATACTTCGGGGCTTAGACTTCTTTATGTTTGAGTTTTGTGGCCAAGTTATGCCTTGGCTAATAAATTTCACATTTTGACATTGCACTTAAAGAAATAAATAAACGAAACGAAAACAGCACCGCCTCCCCATAGCCCTCCAACCGAAGAAAAACCGTTATTGATTTATTTATTTATGTGAACAAACATATGGATGTCGACATAGGAGGAAAATATATAAAAATTATAAAAAGCATCTTATAAGCTAGAAATTAGGCTTTTCTAGCAGGAGAAATCGAATGGAAAAGAAGAAAGTGTTCGCCACTAGGAGAGATTTTTGCACTGGCGGTTTCATGTTTGACATAGAAATCAGGAAAAGGGTAAATAATGGCAGCTATATACTTACTAGTAGTATAGAATATATTTAGGAAATATATAGTTGTATAAACGAAAAAGTTGGTACTATAGGACAGGATATAAAATAGTGCACTGATTTCAACTAAACTGGAACTTGGAGGTATTATTAAAAACTAATAAATACTAAAAAAAAACAATACAAGACAAACAAAAAGCGAGAAGTTCACAATTTTGTCGTGCCTAGATATTGTGGTACAGAAGATGTCGATGTTCAGTCGGACAGATGGACTTATGGAAATGGCTATAGCAATTCCTGCAGTCGCGCTTCCTTCTGCTTGATTTATAAATACGAGCACGGTCCGACTCCTGAGTACCTCGCCTTCACCTTCACCTTTCGGGCGATGGGTATAAGAACTCTAATTTAAGTTGTAAAAATATATATTGCGCATGTACGTATACGAGTATATGTGATGTTGCTGTGTCGTTGCTGTTGTTGTTGTTGCAGTTGACACTTCCGCTGTATTTTGCTTTTTAGTTGGTTAGTTGCTTGGTTATCTTATCGCTGCCGCATACTTTAATGTTCAGTTTGCTCGCCTTTCGCTTGCTTGTTACTTGTACTCGTATGTGCCGAGCATTAGATTGTTTGCATTCTTCCACATTGCCTGCTGGTATCTATTTCATATACTTGTATACCTGACTATAGCGCAGTCATACCTGTACGTGTACAGCTATGCATGCATACCTATGTACATACTTGTATATTTATTTATTTATACATACATAGGCATGTATGCGTGTATGTATGTATGGTTGTTTTGTCTTTATTGCTGCAACACAACTGACGCACAGAATGATCGATTGTGTGGTCGACAAGCATATGAATAATTTGCCTAATATTTGTTAAAGAAACACAAGTGTTTTCACACTAACACTAATACGCACACACACACGCATACACTCTCCATCTCTCTATCCTTGCCATTGCGTTGAGTCGCAGTGATAGCCCAGTTTGTACAAGTGGTTGGGCACGCCATTTCTCTTCTCGAAGTTAACGAGCACGTATAATATACGTGTGTATGTATGTGTGTGTGTGTGTGTGTGTGTGTGTACAGTTTATGGACTTACAAATAGTCTGTGCCCTCCCCATAGAGCACACCCCGTCGACAATTTAGATCACGGAGAGCCGAAGAACACACCTATCCGGTACCATTCCCCCATACGATGGGTGTTCGTTTGCATTTTCTTCTTGGGATTTTTAGTTCGAATGCATGAACACTATTCTCGTGCACAACTTTTTCTTTTCTTGAAACTTATTAGTAGTTATTATGAACCTCTGACGCATGGTTTTGTACTTTCCCAGAATTGTACATTATTTGTTGCACATTAAAAAAAAAAACACACACAACCATATACATGCTCCAATTCAAGTTAAAAATGTAATTATATTTCGTCGATATTAAGAGCATGTCGAATCAAGCATGCAGCATGCAGTTTCAGGTAGCCTTTTGTACCAAAAGTAATCGATATGGCCGAGAAGATACATATGTCCAATAGATATCTGCTAAAAGCTTGCAAATCGCGCACCCAAGTGCGGATTCTCTAGCATTCATAAATTGACTCCGAGAGACGAGTGCTGACACGGATCGGTAAAAAGTCGATCGTTCCACATGTGGAACCTCTAGCACTGATAGCATTCAGACAGGCAAACAGTTAGTAAAACAGATGAACAGGCAAGACTGACAATCTTCTAAATCTTCAACAAAATGTTCCGAGTTTCTGCAACGAATAGTCTGCCATATGGACATTTTTACACAAAACTGACGTACTCTTTCATCTCTGTGTGTTTGGGTGCAGGGTAAAGAACTATATATTGTTATCTCTTGAACCTCTGCAGTATACGCATTCGTAATATTGAACCATGTGCTGCGTTAGGCTAACCTAATTGATAAAATGGGGAATTGGTGGACTTATTGGAAACGGCATTAATCGCATTACTCATACGCAGCGTTATAATACTATATGTCGCCTTCCACTTAGGGAATAGAGAATACGCTAGAATTTCGATTGCATCCATAAAGTGAATCATTGCGGTACTTTCGATAACAACAGACACCAACAAGAACAACAAACACAGCCACGCTGTGGCCGCGATTAGAGAATTAGGCCTAAAAACAATAAAATACTATAAACGAATAGAGCAATGTGGAAAGCGACAAGTCACTGAGCCTCGTAATTTTTTTTTAAACAAATTGTAGCGCCATATTGTAGAGGTTTTGGGTTTTTAAATGGCTTGTTCAGTTTGTTGCTAAGCGGTATGTTCTCAAAAAATTGAAGGAAAAAAAAAACAATTCAAGACTCACGAACAACTGTTACACGCGCCTTCACGCCCACCTGCCCAGCCCTTCGTCGCCGCCAGTGCCGCCAATTGCGAAAACTTCTGGTGCGCTGCAGCGCCGCTTCGAATTTCATCAGAAAGGCAACAAATACAACAACAACAACAACAAAAGCAGCAGCAGCAGCAATAATAGCAACACAAAAAAAAGTGGCGCGCACATTTTGTGCTAATTTTAATTAACTTTTATAATTTTTGCGGTAGTTGTTGCTGTTTTTTTTACTGCCAGCCATTTTGTTGACGCGGCGCATTCCCCGCATTCCCCGCATTCCCTTCGCCACACTCGGCTCCGTTCACCTCCATTCGACTCATTTACCTATCGCTGGGCCCGCAGTTATAGGCGCGGGATGGGCACTGGGGCGGAGGATTGGTTGTTTGGCTGCTCGCTCGCTCGCTCATTGGATGGGACGGCCTTATCAGCGTCGCGCCGTCATGCGCCATCTTTGTTCCACTCATCCATAAACTCATTAACGCGCGCATGTCTCACACCCGTCGGCAGGTGAACTCGTGGCTCGGCAGCCAACCAACCAACCAACCAACCAACCAGCCGACCAACTAACCAGCCTTGCATGATGCGTCGTGGTATTAGCATAGGCCAGTTGACCTGATTTTCAATTGTGACAACGATATAGTCGTCATCGTCTGGTCATACAGTGCACAACATACTTGTAGGTTGCGCATGCGCATGACTTCGAAAGACTACTCTGTGATATTTTCTGAAATACTTGTAGTTGTATATTGGATCCAGGTTCGAACTCTTGGCTAGTAGTATTTTCTAAAAATGTGATCAACCAGTATACACAAATACATCGCTCCGCCTTGAACATATGGTAATTGCTTTCTAATTCTTGATTTAAACGCATAAAGACAAGGTAGCTATTTGGTTTCTGATACGCCAGAGCTAGTTCTAAGAAAGGCGGGATGGATGTCGTGATCCTTTTCGCATCTCATATTCTATTGACACCCCTTCTTGGTCAACGCTTAAATTATAAGATAAAATGGCATTATTACATTACAACCCATGTAATACATTTGTTGCCTAATTTGCTGCCATCTGCCACGCAAGATATAAGTTAACAGTCCAGCCTAAGCTACATTGCTAATATTCGGGTTCCCCTCCTCTTTTCCTACATTTACAGCACAAAGATGAACAGAATCCTGCCATTCTCGAAGACAGCTGGTGCTGGGAGCCGGATAGCAATCAGGCAGCTGACGCCAGCTCTAGCACTTCTGCAGGCGCTGGACTCGTGGACGTGGCACTGGATGCCGACGAGAAGAATGCGGCCAAGATGAAGGAGCGCATTGCCGAACTGGAACAGCTTAATGTACAGCTCAATGCATCTCTAGATGAGCTCGATGCTCAGCATGAACAAGCGATGCAGGATATGTTGGCGATCAAAACGCAACTGCAGGAGAAGGTAGCAGAGCTGACGCAGGCAAATTCTGAGATGAAGCAACATCAGGCCGATAGTTTTATTGCGCACGAGCTGGCACTGGCCAAGCTGCAGGAACAGTGTCGACAATCGGAGGAGGCACAGCAAGTGGCGCTCGTTGCGCAGGATGCCCTTCAGAAGCGCGTGGATGGTTATGCTGAGGAGCTGAAACGCAGCGTCGTCGATCTGGCCGATTTGCAGGAGCTGCTGGATAAGCGCAGCGCCGACAACAACGAGCTCATCGAGCGTATACGCCTAGCAGACGCGTCTGCCGAGGCAGCGGCAGGCGAACGGGAGCAGCTGCAGCAGCGAGTTACGCAGTTGCTCAAGGATGTGGAGGAGCTGAAACTGGCGAAAGAGAAAAAGACTTCGGAGTCATCTAACAGCTCATCCACAGGGAAGCACAGCGAAGACGAGTTCATAGTGGTGCGCGAGGCTGATGCGGCCTCAGGCTCCTCAGACCCCACCACGCCGCCCACAAAGGAGAAGCTGCGCGACAAGTTGGTGGCGTTAGAGGCTCGCATTGCCGAGCTGACGCTAGAGAACGGCAGCCTGGCTCTAAAGCTGCAGGATCGCGAGTTGGAAAAGCAGCTGTCCAGTAATGTGCTTAGTGAGACGCTGGAAGAGCTACAACAGAAGCATGCCGTGCAATCCGACGAGCTGGCCGAGATTCAGGCCGCAAAGGAGCAGGCACAACAGGCGCTGGCCCAGCTCCAAACGGAGGGTGGCGAGCAGCGCGAACAGGCACAAAAGTGTGTGGCCGAGCTGGAGTCACGTCTGCTTATTTCAGAAAGTGAGAAGGAGCAGCTCCAATTGGAGCTGCAAACGTTGCGCAACGAGTGGGAGCGCAAGCTGCAGCAACTAACGTTGCAAAACCAAGAACTGAAGTTGCAAGCAGAGGCAGAGGAGGAGACGCACGCGGATGATGTGGAGCGGCAGATGAGTGCGTTGCGTGAAGCCAACGAGCGGTTGCGTCAGGAGCTGAATACAAGCATTGCCCAGGCCAAATTCCGACAGGCTATTGCTGAGGAGAAGCAAGAGATTACGGACCTGGATGAAGCTGATGATGGCGGCACTGCCGAGCCCTTCGATATTGAGCAACTGCGTGTGCTTCTGGAGTCCTTGCTAAAGGGTCAGCTAGAGCAAACGCCCCAGGAGGCACTGGAGCGCGGCTATCGTGCACTGCGAGAGCGCTGGCAGCGCGTAAACGCGCTGGAGCAGCGACTGGTGCAGACTAATGAAGAACTCGCCGAACTTCAGGATCACAAGCTAATTGCCGAACATGAGAAGAAGACGCTGGAGGCGGACATCTCGCAGTACATACTTCAGTGTGATGAGCTTATGAAAAACAATGAAGTGCTGCTCAACGAGCTAGAGAAATACAAGCGCAACAAGCTGGAGACGATTGAGGAGCGGCATGAGGAGACAATTGTGCAGCTGGAGACGCAACTGGAGGAGGCAACGCGACGCTGCCGACAACTCCAGAACAGCGAAGAGGAATTGGCCAGAAATTTGTCAGAAGCTCGCCAGCGTCTGGATCAGGCGGGAGCTGAGAAGCGAGAAGAAACAGTAGACAATGAATTGGCAATACAGAAGGAGCGCTATATGGGTTTGCAGGCAGAACTTATTGAAAAAGAGCGAGCATTTGAAAAGGAACTTGCCGAGAAAAATGAAATATGTCACCGGCTTGAGGAGAAGCTAGCACATCAGAGTACTCGGGAAGAGGTGGCCAAACAGCACGAAGAGCACTACAATACTAAGCTGAAGCAGTTGGAAGAATACAAAGAGAGCTCTAGTAGGCTAGGTGAACAGCTGACAGAGCTTAGGTCCCAGCTCAGTGCTAAGGAGCAGTCGCTGGCTCAGCTGCAGCAGCAGCTTGAGGAGCAGCTCGGGCTGGTCAAAGAACTTACTGAACACAAAAATAGGTGTCGTCTCCTTGAGGATCAGTTAGCTCAGTTAAAGGCTGAGCTCACTGCCAAGGAACAGATGGCTGTACAGCGTGAAAAGGAGCAAGATGACGTTGCCAAGGAACTGGTCGAATACAAGGAGCATTGCTCGGAGCTGCAAGCTCAGCTCAGTGGACGGGAGCAGGCCATTGCGCAGCTGCAGCAGCAGAACGAGGAACAACATAGTGAACTAACCAAGTGTTTGACCGAACAGCAGGAACGTAACGCAGCTCTTCAAGCTCAGCTCACTGCCATCGGGCAATCGCTACAAAAAGCCGAGACAGAGCTAAGTACATTGCAGGCCACACAAGGACATTGTCAAGACAAAGCACAGCTCAGTGCAAATCTGCAAAAGACCATCGAACAGCTGGGCTTTGAAAAGGCGGAGATGATTAAGGCGCTCCAGCAGAAGCATGCGGAGAATACGCAATACTATGCAGAGATACAGCGACTACAGCCCCTCGCAGCAGCAGCAGCGGCTCCACCGCCAACCTGCGCTCGCTGCCCGCAGCTCGATGCCCAGCTAGACGAGCTGTTCAAGGAGCGCGAGAAGCTAACTGATCAGATAAACTTCCTCAAGGAGAAGTCCGACATACTCACGACCAATCTGCTAACCGAACAGACCAATCAGCGCCTTCTTCAACAGGAGAAAGTCGAGACGCTGGAGCAACACACGACCGCAATGCGGGACTTGGAGAGGTTGCGGGCACATCTGATCGAGGTGGAGGAACTGCATACACAGGAAACGGTGGAACTGCAGCAGGAACTGCATGATGTGCGTTCCAAGATGCTGTCACTGCAGGAGGAGGTGTCTAAGTCAAGCACGGCCTTCACATCGGCAAGGTGAGTGAATGAAAAAAATATAGTCAGGAAGGCGGCTAGAGCGGGAAGAAGTGGATTAAGATTCGGTTAAGCGGGAGAAGTAGAGATCGAAGGGGTAGGCGATAGTTAGTGGAGGAAAAAAGAGAGACAATTTCATATCAACCTATTGCATAACTGAGGGTGTTACCCATTCAGACAAAAAGTAATCCAGAGTTTTGTATTAGTTAGGTGGGCTAGAATATTCTAGCTGGGCAGGGGTGGAAAGAGTTATGGAAGTAGAGCACAAGCATCGCCATGACCAGGCTATATAATAAGTGCTTGGGGCGGTGGTCCGTTGGGGTTGGAGGGAAATATGTAACGGCACTAATTACCGTTGACATTTGCATTACCGTTGTTGCTTCCCTGATAAGCGTGGCTCTGAGTCAGGCGGCGTCGTCGCCGTCGCCACCGCCATCGCCATTTTTGAAATTAATTCGTTACATTTGTCGACGCGCCTGCAGGTGGCAACAACGCCCCATCCTACCCCCAAAAGCCCCTGCCCCCAAACACATTTCGTCACGCTGCGATAACGAAACAATGCGAGCATCGAGTGGAGGCGGTGAGGTGCCAGCCGGACACGTTTCTAAGCGCTTTGTTAAGCTCTGTCACGACACACATATACAAAAGCACACATACAGCACACACAGGTACACTTAAACACCTGTTAATTGCCGCAGCAAATGCGCGACGTCGCCGTCGACGACGCCAGCACCTGAACCACACATTTGGCCACGCCGCTGACAACGGGCAACGTGTCCAAAGCGCTTTCGCCAAATAGGCCAGTTGCAACAGTTGTAGCTCGATTGCCTGCTAGCCAGGCCGCACTATCTAACGGTTCTCACTTGTCTTGCAGCATACGCGCCAACCAGCAGGCGGAGACGCTGCAGGCCCAACATGCGCTGGTTCTTAAGCAACGGGACGAGCTGCTCCACAAGCTGAGCCAGTGCGAGGATCGTGAACTGAAGCAGCATGCTGCGCTAACCAATCTGCAGTGTGCGCTGGAACAGTTTCAGAACGGTAAGTCCCTTTAGTACCTACCTCTTTGCTTGTCCTACTAAGTATGTCTGCAACCCGCGCACAGACAAGGACCATGATATACAAATGGCGACGCAGCGCATACGGAAGGAGCTGCAGTCGGAGCTGGATAAGCAGATCGTGCAGCAAGCGGAGCTGGCCGTGCTACATCAGAAGCTGGCCGATGCTAATCAAGGACTGCGAGCGGCTGCTCGACTGTCCGACCAGCTCGAGACGAGTCAGCAAACGATCGCCGTGCTGCGTGACGAAGGTGAGTGAAGAATCCTTGCGCACCCTTGCTCTTTCTCTTGACTAACCCAAGCAAGCCAAACTGGTGCCAGCACTCGGTCGTGTGTTAATAACCACTCCCTTCCCCCACACACCGCTTGCCCCACAACGCCTGCTAAAAAGAAAAAAAAAAAAAAAACAACAACAACAACTACAAAACGCACTTGGCATGTAATGGCATTTTGTTTAATCCGTGTCATGGTATCCCTTGCCTGAATTCTTGATGTTCTTCTCCTTTTTTTTTGTATTTTGGTCAACTGGTTTAACTCCATGCACCACCGATAACACCACCAGCAGCAACACCACAACCACCACAAGCCCCACGAGCACCACGAACCCCAACAATTCCACCAATCACAATTCGATCTTATCTTAAGTTAGAAAGAAAGCGAGCATATGAAAAAGATAAAAAGATAAAAAGCAAAGAAAAGAGAAGTAGAGAGCGCATCACGTCACATCACTCGATTCTTAAAGGTAAATATCAGCTGGTAATTCTGGGCGATATACGTACTTTGAAACACTCGGAATTTCAGTTGGTATCGACTTTTCTGGATTGCATTTTATCACCATGAACAAAGAAATTATTTTTTTAAAATTACAAAAAACAAAACATGAATATGTAACGCAAATACTAAACCAAGCGAAGATGATCGATCCGATCCGATCCGATACGATCTTAAATCGATGTACGGCACCATGGCAATTGGCTGAAAAATATGTTCAAAGTTGGTCCAGAGCGTATCGCCCTCAACGTAGCTTAACAATGCATGCTGGTGGTGCGACTTGTTTCCCCCACTCCTCAAAGAATTCTCTCATCCATGTCGGTCCGTATGGATCACTTTTCAAAAGCCTCTTGATTAATTTTCGAATTTATTGCTATATATGTATTTAATTTAATTTCTTAACTTTTTTTTTTTGTACTGCACTTTTACGTTTGGACTGTTTAACTGTATGTCTTGCACATTAATGTAATAATATTTAGTGAACCGATACCCATGCACCACACACACACACAAAACAAGAAAACAAAAAAAAAAAAAAAACAGTCAACCCCACACAAAAATAATCAACAAATTATGTACTTTATTGCATTTTGGAAACGTTTCGTTTCGCCCATACGAACACAAATACGAAATTTCCCAGACTAATCCCAAGATACAAATCATTAATTAGTAGTTGTCATATTTATGTAGAAAGTATTAGGTACATACATCTTCAGTTTAGAAGAAATAATAGATGCTACTGGGCCCGTTCTTTTTAACTATGTTGCTAGTTGTAAAGTTTATTTTACATTCGATGACTATTGTACAGTGCCCTTTCCTTTTATTTAGTCATCATTGCGAATAATTAAAATTTTGAAATCATTCATAGGATTTTTTATTCTTGGGGCCTATTACGAGGCTTACAAAATGCAATGAAATGCTTATTAAATGAATATGTTCTTTGCTAATCGGAAATTAAGTCATTTCAGACCATAAATTGAACATTTTTTCATAACGTTAGCTTAGAGGGTGTTCTTGGAACATGCAATTCATCACATTTGTCAGGAAGTAAACATTATTTTAGGACGAAAAATGGCCAAAAGAGTATTTCATAACAGGATTTTTTATTTTCTTTTTACACTTTTGTTGGCTAGCCTTGAGTATAGTTTCAAGGGAAAAAACTCGAAATAGAGCAAAAAAGTAACAATGTTGCCACATTGCATGCAAATAAAATAAATAAACAGCTGAACTGGGATTGTGATCAAACTGCCCAATAGGGTAACACTTAACTCCTCGAAAATGGGATGAAAGTATTCCTTTTGGTTGCAGGTATTCAGGGCACCACCCATCGCACACTGCACGAAAATGTTGAATTTATTTCCTTGTGTTTTGTTGTAATATCTGTTTTCTCCGCCATTCCCAGTGTTTTAGTTTTCTGTTTTTTGCTCCGCTATTACTTTCTTTCGATCACAAAACTATATGCGTACATATATCTGCAACGTTTAATTTCTTAGACGTTTCAGACTTTAGTGTATGAAGTAAAGCTCTCAGACTCATAATACAGTCAGATATTATTTAACGTGTAGATCAGTTTTGAATTTAAGCTTGTTTTTACAGCTTACAAATGTTTTCTGTTTTTCGTATAAAGTAAAAGAAAAGTTTGTTTTTTTTTTTTTTTTTGGAAAAAAGAAATACAGTTTTGGCCATCATTGTGCCCGCAATATTTGAATTTAGGGAAATGTGACAAATGAGAATGTTGCAGTAATTACACAGTTTTATTGAATGTATGTAGATTATTATTGATATTGCCATTATTTGTCTGTATGTGTGTGTTTGTGTACAAATTGTTATCTCTCTTGATTTCTTGAAAAAATATAGTTTATTTGTAGTCGCTAAGTGTAGATCGTACTTGTAAAAACTGTAAAGAGTAAATGCGAGCTTGCCAGTAAATCAGTAAATCAGCTCAATACATATATATATATATCTACAAATATTTGAAACATATGTATGTATGTATATCCGTAAATCGTAATCGGTCAGTAAATAGTCCGTTCTAGTAAATCTGTAAGCTGTTTAACCACTTATATCTACTATATCTGCAGCATTGACTAATCTCAATTTGTAAATGTGAGCACTTGAGCCATTTGACGCACTCACTTTGCAATTGGAGATTGCTCGAGATTGCAGCATATGCCACATTGTAATATCTAAATAAGTACATAAGTACATACAAACGTACATAAGGACCAAGCTGCTTATGTTAGTTAGTATGTATGTGTATGTATGTGTATACCTTCTCCTCCTGTATGTTGCTGCCCGCTAGCTGCATTCTACCTATATTAAAATTATAACTATAACTATGACTATGTTTATAACTATAAAACTATGATTATGATTATAAATATGATTTGACTATCGCTCGTTCGATCGTCGCCCGTTCGCTCGTTCGTTCGTTCGTTCGTTTGTTGTTGCGTTTAACTCTTATTTTCGATTGATTTTGTTTGCTGCCAACTTTTTAGTTTTGATAATTTGCCACTTTTTGATTTCTCATCGCTTATCGTTTCTTGCCAATTGTTGACCACAAGAATGGAACTGAATTGAATTGAATTATTGTAACGACAAATTGAACAGCCAAGCATGCCTGCCAACAACAATACTTGTATGTATAATAACAAGAACAACAACAAAAAAGAACAGCAACAAAAATAATCTTAACAGCTCGCCAAAACAATAATAATAATACAAATAATAATAATAATAATAATAGTATTAATACAAAATAACAAAGCGCGTATCGAACTCCAACAGCATCCGCATCTGCATCCGCATACGCATCCACAGGATCGGGAAAGAAAGGCGCCTGTACGGTTGAGTATTACATCAGGTACTGGTGTGCCATTTTAACAACTAACCAGTACTTATGTCATACTACGCCGTGCAGCTGGCGCACTAACCGCATGCCACAAAGTCCAGATCAAATCAAAAACTGAACATAACAGACCAGACCAGACCAGACCGGGCCAGTTCGGCTCAGCAAAAGCGACGCAATGCGCATGAGTCGCGCATGAAACGCCCCCGAAACGCGCGCATTGTTTTTCTTTCTTAAACCCAAACCCTGTTGCATGAGATCTCATTTACTAAATATCCATTCTAATTGCTCACTAATTCCACCAATTCCACTAACCGCTGATCGTGTTCTTGCATATTTTAAATCCACCATCAACGTCGGCTCTTCACACTCGTCGGTAAACCTGTAGTGGACAGCTTGAAGGAGCACAATGGGCAGCTGGAGCAGAAGCTGAGCAGCAGCGAGTCGAGCCAGACGGACAAGATCGACAAGAGTCTCATCAAGAGTCTGCTCATTGGCTACGTGGTTAGCGGGCATGCGGGGGACAAGCAGCAGGTCCTACGCATGATATCCTCTCTGCTGGACTTTAGCGCACAGGAGGCCGATAAGGTTGGCCTCAACAAACCCCAAAGTAGTTGGCTGGGCGCCATTCTCGGCAGCAATCCGGGACAGACGGCCCAAGGCACAGGTTAGCTGAACCCTGAGAGTGCTAGAAAACCCAAACCAAACTCAGTTTTTCTTTACCTCTCTTTTCTCAGCAGGTCGAGACAATCTGATGCAAGCCTTCGTGCAGTTTCTAGAGCAGGAGTCGCAGCCACAGTCGCAGTCGCGACCCACGCTGCTGAGCATGGCCGACCAAGCAACTGGTGCAGGATCAGGGACAGCAATAACCGGCACAGGCACAGGAACGTCAACGACTGTTCCTTCAACCGCGCCTACACAGTCTTCGGCTGAGCAGCCAGCGAGGCGCCCCTCAAACAGCTCGGCGGTCCCGCCTGCACAGCCGCTGCTTATTAGCTCCAACGAATTTGCGCCGACACGCAACTCCAGCTCGATATTAAAGGATATTCTCAGCGACTCCTGATTGTTGTAGACAATTTGTAGCAGTTGAAGATGTTTTTTTTTTTACCACGTCACTTTTTTTTTACAAGCTAATATGTATATGAATTTTATATGTATATGTACTATATATATCAATAGTGTGTAATTCACGCTCTATTCGTTTCAAATCGTGTATCTATATACATATATCTACCTATGTATCTACGCGAAGAGTAATGCCGATTCGTGCAACTGTAACAATGTAACAATAACTGTAAATATGTAAAATCAGTCCTCCTATCAATTCAATGTTTAGTTTAATCTGCTCTGCGGGTGTTTTATCTCAACTGCACTGTCGTGTCATAAGCTTAAGTAATATTGTATTATTATACTCCAAAACTGTTACCTGGCACATCTATACCTACATATATATCGATAACTCCACTATTTCTAGTTTTTCTGAGAAATTGCATCGAGCAAACGATATCGTTTACTGTCTTACAAGTGACTGCCTAAAGCTGGTACGCTTCTTGGAGTCTCCAGCTCGGAGGTTCCGGAAATTTGCGCAGCCGCCTTTCGTCTCTCGCAGCGGAGACGTCTCTTCATACGCAAGTGCCTTAACCATTTGGCGTATGTGTGTCTAAATTTGTAGTTCGTGGCAAAATGGCAATATCGTGATAAGTTAATGACACTTAATAATAAATAAATGCACTCATGCAAATTGTTTAAACCTAAACCAATACCTGTGTACTTACTTTCGTCTTTCCCGTTCGTTTTGAATCATGGCCTTGCAACACTGCCTAAAAGTATGCAACGCCATAGCTGGGTAGACTTAAACGTAAGATGTCTGTAAAAGCATATATCTTCCCACTAAAAATAATCGTGATGCAGAATGAAGGGAGTGTTGTCTTCAATTCGTGATGGGCCTCCTTGCGAAAGGTTGGCAGGAAATCGGTATTATTGTATTTTTATATTATAAATGTTTAACAACAATAAGAAATATCCTCAATTAGAGAGAGCGTGAGTGCAAGGATTTTAAAGCTTATAGAAGGAAATGGTTCGGTATTTTATCCCCAAATATAAAATGTAATTTAAATACTAATAACTTTCTTTATGTTTGGAAATGGTTTGAAATACTTGATAGGCTTTGCTCCAAAAATGGCCTCCATTGACTGTAAACCAAGCATATGTGCAATGGAATTCAAAATCAATTTTGTTATTTTGAAATATATATAGTTATTTTATACAATGGTACAGAATATTTCAATTTCGTATTTCCATGTTGAATTCCACATACCTATGTACTATATACATGCATATAACGACCACCAATAGACTCTTGTTGTATTCTCGCAAGTAAGTATAGACATTTGGTTTTTTTTCGTACACACATTTTTATACGTATTTCTTGTTTTGCGTTTATTATTATTCACTATAACATTTCTATAAACTCTTTTTTGCGAAAACAAATTTTAGTAAATGTTGCAATAGACCGCCATATTGGCCAGTTCAACATTAACATCCGTAAACGGTTAAAATACATACATACATACATAAAAACATCGGCTCTAACACATGCACAATATCATCTCTTGTTTGCTCTACTTTTTCCTTTTTTTTCACTTGCGTGAAAATGTTTGCTATAGAATTTGCTAGGAGTATGTAAATATAGCAAACAGTACGATTGGCCAGCTCGCTGCGGCCGCCATCCTATTCTTTTTACTAATTTTGTAGTATATCCTTGCAAAGGGTATTTACGCCTCTAATTGGTGTTTGTAACACGCGGACTTTGGCCGTTTTAGTTGCTTCTAGAAATTGAAGGTATTGCCCATAAAATTTAAGTTAGCTGCTCTCTATTCGACAATAGCTTAGAGCCCAGATAAATACTAAAATATCACCAAATATTTGGTTGATAAAAAAATAGATTGAACAAAATTTATATTTTCAGAATGGGGTAACAAATTTCAACCTTTTCCAAGTATTTGGAATTTGGATTCATTATCATAGAGCTGTTTGCAAGGGTATTTGATCTTCGGCTGGCCGAGAATATGGTATTTCCCTATTTATTTTAATGCATCAGGGCCACATATACTCGTATTTGCGAAACGGAATACCTTTATCATTCTTTTATATACGTTTTTTATTTCGAATTTTGTTCATAAAAAAATATTTATTTAAATTTCGATTCCGCTTTTTTTCTCACATTTTCGTTTTTGTTTTAAAGTTGTGTTTTTCTTTTTGGCTTTTTTTCAATTGCTACTCTCATTAAATAAGTAGAAAATACGTTTTGTATATAAAAATACAAGAGGGTCCATAAGTTACAGCGTACTTTTTGTTGTCCATTTAGTTGTGAAAACAGTTTTTGTGAGTGCGTGCGTATGTGTGAGTGTTGTTCGGAGAGTCATTTTTAATAGTTCATGGATATCAAAGCTTACTTTCCACAGGCACGCACAAAATGCCTGTAAAAAAGAAATGGACTAATGCTTCTGAAAGGTATCCGTACGATTAAAATGCATATTCATATGCAAGTATTAAACGCTGAGCAAATTAAAAAAGGAATTGTTGAGTTTCATGGCGGCAGTTGGAAAATTATTCGAAAAAGTTGTGAGCGGGAGGGAGCGGAGGCGAAAATGCGTAAGTTTGTTGCAATTTTTATTTTTTACAAAATATTCCATTTTTGTTTCAGCAGACGCAACAATTCAGGAAAATAAGATAAATATTCCTCACCTCATTTCAGCGCTATGGATGGTCACAGTTAAATGAGTCTTTTAAAAGCCAATTTTTCTTAAGAGACGTTCAATCGCCCTCCAAGTTATGAACATAGAACTTAGTTTTTGGCTATTGCCATTGCTATTGGATGCAATATTTTCGTCGCCACCCTCGCGCGTGTTAAAATTATGAGTGTGAGTGTGGAACAAAATAGAACTATACATAGTATTATCTATGTAGGTAGGAGTATACTACCGAGTATGAAAATGCTGTGCCGCACTCTCGAAACAGAAAATTGTTTTATGCTTTTGTACTGCTGATTAACACTTGGAGAAGTTTCTCATCGAGCTTCTGATTTAGCTTCTGATTTCACTAATTGTTGTTGCTTTACTTTCGCTTTGTTTCAATAAATATACACTTGTACATATACATATAAACAACACATTGAATAGCTGTATTTAATATTCGTTATATAAATATCATCGTTGCTTAATTTTTAAAAATGAAAAAAAGAGACATTTTTTATGTTTTTTGTTTTTTTTTTGCTTTTACTTACACAGAATTTTCTAACAATTTACAACATTTATTTGCTAATTTTTGCGTTTCGTCGTTTTTGTATTTTGTTTGCGATTTCTTGGCAAATAACAGGATACTTATGCCTATTCTTGTCTTGTTCGACACGATTTGTTTAATGATTAGTTTAAAAAAAATGTAGACATTTAAAGCCATAAATATTCATATAGGTGTAGTTACTATATTATTCTTTAGTTTTACATTCGCAGTAAATAGTTATGCAAAAAAAAAATTACTTTTATTTATATATGTATGTATTTGTATATACTATACATATATGTATGTATACTTGTATATAGTGTGTTGCATGTCGATCCGCTAATAAAACATACATACACACATACATTCAGTAAAACATCGTATTAAATATTTATGCTGTGTTGCTTTGTCTGGATGTGTGTTAGTGTGTGTGCGTGTGTGTGCGTGTATGTGCGTGTATGTGCGTGTATGTGTGCGTATGCGTGTGCGTGTGCATTCGTCGTACTTGCAACACTATGCTTTAGATTTAAATCAGACATAACAAACTTAACATCAACATCGCTACATATTCAGCCTACAACTTATGTACTTACATACATACATGCTACATACAATACATACAGACATCGTCAGCAACGCTTCATATTCAACATTAGTTACATATCACAAAACAGTTTACTCTCGTGGCCCCCACCCTCTCCCCAAACCCCAACCCCCACGGCACACGCCCCACTGCCCCACTGCCCTACGCATCTCCCCTTCCAGCCCCTCACATCCCTTTCCGTTTCCGTTTCCCTTTCCTTTCTGCTGCCCTAGCAACTGCATTTTCTTTAATTTCATATTAGTTTTCATTGAAATTTTCGCTTCCATTCACATTTGTCTGGCTTAGAACTTTTTCAGTTCCACTCAGTAAGCACTTGGCACGCACAGCTCCAGTGTTCTTCTTCTTGCTGTTTTAGTAGTAGTAGTAGTAGTTGTTGTTGTTGTTGTTGTTGTTGGCCCACAAGTTGAATTCATAAATGCAATTTTGAAACCATGTTTTCAACCTTTCCTTCGGCCAGAGCTGTGCAAGTGTGCTGTAGAACTAGTTCTTTTTGTTTTGTTTTGTTTTGTTTGGTCTTCATTAGTGTGTGTTTCGGATCTCTAGTGGTATTAAATATTAACTAAGCCTGTTTCCATTTGCACGCATTTATAAAAAACTGTATCGATACACCGAGAAAAATGCAGATCTAACTTCGAAATGTTTTGTTAAGACATTACTTCATAATTTCCTTTGGCTCCACTGAATGGAAACAGGATCGATAAACTGTAGTTCTGTTGCTTTGGTTAGTTGGTCGTGTGTCTGTCTCTGTGGGTGTGTGTGTGTGTTAGTTAGTTAGCTTTGTCTAAAACGTAGCACTAGATAGAGTCGGGTTTGTCAGGTTAGCAGACTTAGGATTCCCTTTTAAGTATGTGACCTCAAACAACGTCGAAATGCATGGATATAAGGGATTTGATGGGAAGGGAAAGGAGCTAGGACTTGATTTAGTTTCATTTCAAAGAAACAAATAATCGCGGAACTGAACCCGTTCATTCGAGCGTTGTCGCTGCAGATGGTGTCGTCGTCGGGGTCAGATGGTTGCCACCATTCGCGTGCAGCGACTCCTGCGACTTAAACAGTGTGGTCGTCTCGTTCGAGTGCATGTCATCCTCTTCCTGGGCACACTCGACGCACTCATTACGCGGCTTGGGCGCCATCACCATCGATATTTGTTCGGCATCAGCAGCATCCTCATCCCCTTCCCCATCGCCATCGCTTTCACTATCACCAGCCTCTGGTTTATCTTCATTTTTATCGGCATCGTTATCGCTTTGAGGCTTGGAACCCGTGAACAAATAGACCTCCATGTGATCCTTACCCTTCACATAGACACTGCCACGCGGCTCAAACTCGTATCGTTCGGTTAGAAAGGGCAGGCAGTCCTTGCCCACCTGTATGCGATTGGGCACACCTGTAGAATCCATGCGCGAGGCCACATTGACGGCATCACCCCAGATGTCGTAGAACAGCTTGCTGGTGCCAATTACTCCTGCTGTGACATCCCCAATGTTGAGACCGATGCGTAGAATCAGATTGAACTCGAGCAGGTCCTTGTTGAAGGCATCTACAACGCCCTGCATCGCGATCGAGAACTCCATGAGTGTGTGGATGTGCTCGTTTCCGGAGCCGCGATGCGCCGGATCCAAGCCGCTGGCGGCCATGAAGGTGGATCCAATGGTTTTTATTTTCTCTACTGAACGAAATTCAGGACGGGAGAGTAGCTCGTCGAAATCCCCGATTAGCTCATTGAGAACGCGTAGGAACTCCTTACCACCCAGGTAGCTCTCGTCGTACATTTCGTTAAAGTTGACAATAGAGGCAAAAATGATGGCGATATTGTGATGGTTCTCCGAGTACTTGGCCGTGTTCTTCAGATGCTCCGCCACGTGCTTGGGTATAATGTTGTGGAGTAGCATGTCCGCCTGATTCTTCATATTCTGCACCTGCACTTTATCCTGGTTGGCGACGGCGTTGCCGTAGAAGGTAAGACGATAGCCGATTTCGAACTCGCGATTTAGCAACCACACCAGTATCAGTATCAGCAGCAGGTCCAAATAGATTTCGGTATGGTAGTCGTGGAACCACTTGATTTCCTCAGCTGCAGCGCTGTCATTCAGATGGGTCTCGCTATCGATGGCATCCGTGTCGATGCGATTCGAGTAGACTACTAGCTGGGAAACGGCAATACCGATGAAGCAAAGGGCAGCCAGAAAGGCCAGTATGTTGCGCATCCAGCAATTGAGCTGCGTGAAATTGCAGAAGTGGACGATGCACACGAATATTAGGAAGCCATAGTGGTACTCGAAGGCCTCCAGCTGATCGAGATCGAGTAAGAGAAAGTTGGCAATGATCAGCATGACGGGCATAGCCATGAGGACGGCAAGGCATATGTGCCACGGGTACCAGCTGGATATGGCCTCAAAGATACGATCGGCGCACGACTCGAACTGCGCCGGACCCTGGTGGCCATCATCGGTGTTGGGACCGTCGACACAGCTGCCGCTTGACTTGGAACGTTGTCGGGTGCCATGACGTCGACACATCTGGCGCGTAAACAGGAACAGTGCGAACACTTGGATAGCCGTGAAGCATGAGAAGAGCGTCACCCAGAGTCTAAAACTAGGGGTAACTGTGTTCTGCGTCATCAGAAACAGTGACACCGAAATGCAAAGATAGACGGCAATGCCCACAAAGATGTCGATGTAGGTGTTGTAGCGTGGTGTGGCCAGGGTGGGCGGTCCCTCCGTCTCGTGTTCGCTTCCAAATCGATGCGCCTTGGACCGGAAGTCACGCTCCATTTGACGCGACTTAAAGTACAGACTGAAACGTCGTAGCGGCGGCTTAACTAAATAGCTGCGTTGTGATTTCGCATTGTCCCGCACGCACCGGATCAGCTGCAGGTCTGACTGCTTACGCAGTTGTTGCAGGCATGCGGCTAGAGGATCGGCTACCTGGGGCGTGGGCTGCGTAATTGGCGGCAGAGGAACGTGGGGTAGCGAGGCGTCACCGATGTTCGAAATGCTCGACGTGGAGCTGGTGAAGTAGCCGGACACTCGATGCTGGCTGATCGCCGACTGGTTGAGAGCATAGATCTGCTGTTGTATGGAGGATCGGCGGGAATTGCTCTTGATTCCCGAATCCTTGCGAGAGGTTGCGGATGGGCAAATGCTCAGTCCATCCGGCCAGATGCTGGAGTTACGCGAGTGTGTGGGCGGCGGCGGTGGTGGCAGCGACGACGGAGCACGGTCCGACGTGGAGGCGGGTGTGACTAGCAAGGAATGTGGTGTGCAAGCGGTAGAATTGCTGCTGCAGGCAACTGCAGAGCTAACCTGCTCGCCGCGACCCACAGTTAGGGTGGAAGCGCGAGGTCGGGGGACTGGCGACGACTCCGTATGGCCCGACTGTCCAGACTGGCCCGACTGGCCGCTGCGCCCACACTGCGATCGGTAGCTGCCGGATCGGCCGAAGGGTGAAATGTCGCTGCGCGACTGACTGATATAGGAGCGCACATCGATTACGTCATCGAACATAGAAAATTGTCCGGGTGAGCAGCAGCCACCACCGCCGGTGGCAACATCGGGTGAACGCAAAACGCTGCTGGCCAATGCCGTGGATGTGGCTGCATGATGGAGCACCGGCTTCTGCGGTATATCCAGCATTTGGGTATTCGCACGGCCCCCGCTGGTAGCCTCCACCAACACGGGTAGCTGCTGGTAGCCGCCATTCGCTTGAGGCTCGATGAATGCTAAAGCCTCGTCCTGCTGCAGGGGGGTTAGTGAGCTAGAAGCCGTATCCGTGTTGATGGATTTGTCTGTGTTCTTAGCCAACTCCTCGAATTTTTTAAGAAAGCGGGGCATCTTCCACACCTTAAGCTTGATTTTGGGTCGCGTCTCCTGACTGCCGCCGCCATTGAGTTTGGGTGTACAGTCATTGGAGACGCGACAGCAGGTATCCCCATCGTTGGTCTGCTGCTCCGGTTGCTCGTCCGAGTCCAAGCTGCCCGGCAGCGACTTGGTTGTAATTATGATCTTTGGTCTCTCACGCACTACAATAACGGGTGGTATGCCGGCTGCGGCCGGATGAATGATGCCACGTTCCAGGTCGCGTTCGCGACTCTGAGATTTCTTGCGCAGCTTCATGCTAAGCGAGGTCAGTCTTGGGCGTATGGACAGCACGGGTGAGGGATTCAGCGAGTTCGACATCTGACCAACGGGCGAGGCTGGCGGCACGTTTGGATGTATGACCGAAATGTTGGTGGCGCTTTGTGAGAATGAGGTTCCGGGAGCGCCGGGCAGCATGAGAGTACTGCCCGTGGTATTAGCAGGTCTGCTGGGGCTGAGACTGTTCGTGCGCGATACGTCTTTACGTCGTCCTACGACAAAAAAGGTGCGATGGCCTGCGAAAACAGAATAAGAGCATATTTAAATGTTGTGTAGGAGAGCAGGAAATTCTAGAGTAGATCTTATTTGGTCAGGAATAAGTTGCAATGATAATTCTAGAATTGATGCAAGTAAGAAAACAAAAGCTTTCCACTTTCCTCCGGAGGAGGCTCAATAAATAATAGGTAACATTGTTTGACAACAGGACGTGCTACGACGAAATAAAACAGTATTTTTTTACTGAAAAAAAAACTAAAAACTAATATTTTGAAAAAGGAGGGAGAAATAATTGCATCTTCAAGGCTAGCACGGGTATCTATAGACCCGTTAGACAGACCCGTAGAGACAATTTGTTTGAAGTATCTGTGATCGATTTTCAAGCTGACGAACTAAACCTCATGATTTTATTACGTATTTATATTTGAATAGATATAATGGGGAGGTGTTGTTCAAATAGGTATAGAGAAACGGTTTGTTGCTTACCAAAAACCTCCTCGCCCTCCTCCAAGTAGTAAGCATCGCCTAGAAAGTTGGAGGTTTCCTCAGAAATATGTACCTGCTCCGGCTTACCCGACGACTCCATTCTGCGAAATAGATAACAGTTAGATATGCAGCTCATGCCTGAGAGTCACAGTAACAGAACTTACTTATTGGCGAGTGTCACATCATTGCTCCACACATCAAATTTGACGCGACGAGTGCCGACGATACCGCAAAGTACTGTTCCCGTATGGACGCCCACGCGCATCTTGACGCCCTCGTGCCGCTGCGCATCGAAACAGCGCATGGCATCGATCATGCCCAGGCCCATTTCGACACAGCAGATGGCGTGATCGGCTTTTGGCTCTGGGCAGCCGGAAACGCAATAGTAGCAGTCCCCCAGCGTCGAAATTTTATGGCAGCCGCTGAGTGTGCAGAGATCGTCGAAGCGCTCGAAAAGGTCGTTGAGAATCTCCACCAGCTGCTCGGCCGTCTTGGTGGAGGACATGCGCGTGAAGCCGACTATATCTGCGAACAGGATGCTTACGTTGTCCATGCTGTGCATGTGAAAGGGTCGGAACAGCGACTTAACATCGTTGGAGACGCGCGGACGCATGTAGTGTGATTCAGCGGGCAAGCGACGATCGCCGTTGGCATCAAGACCGGCATTGCCACTGCCTCCGCCCTCGTTCAGCAACATATCGGCCACTTTCCGGGGCATTACCGAGTGTATCATCTTCTCCTTCAGCTGCTTCTCCATTTCCAGCTGACGACGAACGAGAAGGTTTTGGCCCACTTTCATGAAGGTGCCGCGCATGCGAACCAGATTCATTACCAGCACATGCCCGCCTACCATGTGCACACTACAGTGGGCCAGGATGCGCAGCACAATTATCTTGTAGCTTCCGCTGCCGTTGCTGCTCGTTCCATGGACGGCGCTGCTGCCTATTACCATGTGCGAGACCAGTTCGAATGCAATAGTGTAGCAGATAGCGATGCTGGAGCTCAGCCACACAGGCATTGGTAGGGCGGTGTAGATGAGCAGCACGATCTCGAGACAGATGGAGTAATGTCCCAATGGGCTGAAGGCGCGATCCGTGTACATAAGGAAGGCCAAGGAGGCGGAGCAGATAAGCAACGCAGTTAGGACCGACGTAGACGTGCGATATGTCCTGTAGAGGTCCCAGTGGGTGAAGCACATGAACATGATGATCACCAGCGAGAGCATTGAGAACGATGTCGAAATGGGACGCCAATAGTCCTCGGAGCCGCCATCAATAATAAAGTACAGGAACCAGGTGATTGAGCACAGCAAAATGTAGTATAGTGTGAACCTGTAAGAGACAAGAGAGTCAGGTAATACTCTGCTTAGGTCCAAAACAATGAAGGAGAAGCTGACCAGCAAAAAACTCTAATAGGTATTACCACCCGGAAGAAAACATAGCAAGCATAGCAAGAAATTTCGATCACATAGCATTTATTTAGACGAAATAACCGCACCGAATTGATGAGAGTCAATCAGAGTTCATGATTAATGTACCCAAGTACCTGTCCCCTGACTGGGGCGATACCAGAAATTGCTGGCCCTGATTTGCTTGCAACACACTTTCATTTTGATGTTCATCTTAATCTCCATCCAGCTACTATCTCTCTCTTAATTCCATCGCAGCAGCGGTGGCCACTCGGCAACGGACATTCATACTAATTACGACTGTCCGGTTGGCCGGTTGGTTGGCAACTTTTCATGCCTTATCTAACGCACTGGACTGGATTTCCGTTGCGCGGAAACAAGCGGACTGGGGAGGATTGGGGATGAAAAGGCTGTGTGCGAAACTTTGCTGGGCGGGCTCCGGAGCGAACGTTTTGGTTGCATTCATTAAGCTGTTTGTGCCAGTTCGCATTGAAAGGCAGGCGGGTGGAGGCGTGGGGGCGTGGCAGCGTTGAGGGCGTTGTTGTTTAAATCACATTGCGTGAAAGACTCGGTAAATAAAGGCAAAGGAATTGCCCGCTCTTTGGGAATCTGTGTTCATGTTGTTGTGGTTGCCTTGCCACTGCAGAGCCTGCCACTTGTTATTTATCTGCCTATCTGTGTGTGTGTGTTTGCTGCCACGCCCACGCCCACGCCCATGCCCGTGAACATGTCCATTCCCTCGCTCTCGCCCTCCGCCGTGCAGTGGCAGGACTCCTCAACTTAATGACATTTTTATGTCAGCCAATTAACGTTAATATTCAGCACTCTTTTGGCATTATCCATTTTGTGGGGCTGTGTGGTTGTGTGGTTGTGTGGCAATTATCGCGCACTACAGGCCCAGCCAGTTGGACAGAATCTGCTCCTCTAGCGTCAGCGTCCCATTGAGTGGCCACTTCAATATGCATTCGTTGCCGCTAAGCTCGCTCTGCACCTGCAGTTGTGCCTCTTCCAAAGTCTCATGCTGTCGAAATTGGCAAACAATAATGCGCTTCACGAGGTCCGGGTTGAGCTTCAGGGTTCTCTTCTGCTTATGCCGCCCGTTCTGTTGGGAACCGCTGACCAGCGCTACCAACACCATCGCGAATGCCAACGCAACCGCCACAAGTGAGGCCAGCAACAGGCGCCAAATGGGGCGACGCCACTCAATGCTGTCGAGGAAGCGGGAAAGGAAACGGCGTACACGCAGCACCAAATGCATCTCATCTATTAACCGGAAGACGAGAAAGAGCCAGAAATTCTCGACCAGCAGTCGCTGTAGCTTGTGCGTCCCCTCTGAATACATACGTATCAGGACAATGATCGTGAAGGTGAGGAATAGAATCAACGACTTGGGCGACATAGTGATAGCGACTGTGAAAGGATGAAGCTGCTGAGGTTGGTTGGGATCTATCTAATATATGTGTATGTGAAAACTTATGTATTTTGCGTTTAAATTTCAAAATATAACTGAAAAGGGAACTAGTTAGAATAAGACAAAAGAGATCAGTTTTGAAAGACAAGTGCTGAGAAAATAGGACCACTCGTATATACTATACTATTAGATAGAATACCATAAAGAATGCTGATCGAGCAAACGATGGATTTTCTTAAAACTGACTAATTTGGATAGGAAGTGTAGTTTGTAAAGCTTTGGAGCTGTAGGCAGTAACGATCAAGTTCTAAAGCGGAGATAGAGAAAAGGGGAAATAATAAGATAAAATCGCGTTGCTTAGCAATTAGGAGAGTCTACAGAACAGACAGTTTAGATCGATTTATCTCGCCATGCGGATCAAGAATGTACGAGCATATACTATTCTGCCTGTTACATGCTTTGCACAAATCTAACACACACCTTCAAGAGCACGGATAGAGGGTATATAATTAATATATATGCGCACAGTTCAAACAAATTTCATCGACCCAGCGCTTGTTTACGAGTTATCGCGCGATGAATTTGGTTAATTAGCGATTCTATTTTCGTACGCTGCTGTTGGTGCATCTGCAACCAAATCGAATTAATCAAATGAACTTAATATTATCGCACCAGTTAAGCAGTTTAACGGACGGCCGTGAATGTTCAACGCTCCATGCACTTCAATTAAGTGAGAAGGAAGCAAGGAAGCAAGGAAGCGAGCACTGTCTGCCTGTCCGTTTCAATTTGAAGTTCTCGAGAGCGACAACATCGGACAGTTACATCGTAAAGCACTTATTTTGTATTTTGCGCATTTGGATCGAAATTGTACATATGTTGAGAAGACTGATTGCAACCCGTACGGTTTGGGCCTTTAAGAAGCATTTCGCATAGTCGCCGGACACTTGATTTTGGTTGACAGGCAGACTTGCTATTGCAGCATCACAAAAAAATTCTAATTTTTCATTGAAAAGGGGGTGTAGGGCCCGCTTCAACTCTTTTATACTCTAGTTTTTCTGTGGGAGAGGCGATCTAACAGTCCTCCTAGATCCTTTCGCAGCAGCTGTAAGAGGACGTCTTCTTTCAAACCATTTCGTACCATTTCTCACCGCTTGTGCCTGCTCTCTTTCATCGACTTCTACCTCAGATGGGGGCTGAATTTTACTGTGATGGGAATTTATCATTTAAAAAAAATTCGCATTTCGAAGAATTCGTTCTTTGTTGAGAAAAAAGACTTGTTATGCTTTAGAAATATTTTCGATCAACTACTCAAGAATGTATCATCGAATCCTTTTGGGAATATATAGTAGTGAGCATAAAAATATTAGCAGGACTAAAATCGGATAGAACAAGGGACGTGTGCGTTAGAGAACACGAAGGGAATAGGCAGGAGAGAAGAGAAGGCAGTCATCTCGACTAGCCAGGAAGAAGCTCGACGCAGATATTCGAAAAGTAGAAGATAATCGACTTGAATTCACTCTCCTTCTGTCCTGCTCCATAAATTTATATGAATATTAATGAGTTGACTTTTGGACTCTCAGTTCTATCTTGATCCATAATGGAAGATGTGTGTACTTGTATATCAACTTTTGGGCATTGAACGTGAACGATTACGAAAGGAAATTTGTTCTCAGATGGTCCAAGTTGCTGACAAATTCTAGAGGATGTTTCTATTTGGCAGCAGGATCCATGTTGGCAACTCATAACTAGCACTAGCTTGGTAAAAGCACCAAGTGGTGTCGGTAATTGAAACAAGCATTCATATAAAATTAAAGAGGAAGGAAGACGGTTCTAAAATGACGAAAGGATAAGGATAGCATAGCTGCTCTACTCCAGCGATCGCATATTCTAATCACAATCTGGATTCAAATTTTCCAAGTTGTCTGATTGAAATGGGTGTGGGATTGCAATCGATTGTAGGACGTGGGAAAGCCAATGGCATGGATGTCGAGTCTTGCATGTGTCGCCGACTGTCCTGAAAATTGATTCATTTCCAAATGGCATTGACCTGATGGCTGCAACAAGCGGCCATCATAATGGCGCCCAGGTCGAGTCAAAGACTTCAGCTCCATTGCATCTATGTATGCGTGTGTGTGTGTGTGTGTGTGTGTGTGTGTGTGTGCACGCAGACGTGCATGTGTGAATGCGTGAGCACGCAAAGTGGCCATTTATGGCGGCAATTGCCGCCATCCTGCAGTTCCAAACTAATTTGTGCCCCTCTGCCCCACTGTGCAGCAGTCTCCTTAGGCGCTACACTCACGTGCAACTGCCGTGGCATGCCACGTAGTTGTTCCAGCTGCAGTCAACATTACACGCGAATGCACACACACACACACTCACTCATGCACACTCACTCATGCACACAAACACACACAGACAAAAATAGCCAAATGAAATTGAAAAGGAAGCCAAAAAAGGGGGACAACTTTAGAGATGGGCTACGAACTTGACTAGCTGATGATGATCCTATAAGGAAAGGGAGTAAGAAAAGGTCTTGCCTTGCTAATGTGTTTTTTTGTAAGCTGTTAGGATATTTTAGGAAAGTTCACAACAGCAGCTTGGACTCTATTTGCTAATGAAAATAGGCTCTAGGTAATAATTTAAGCAACTCCATGTACATATCCATTTGTAATCCTTAGCCCGTGCTATACATTTTTAGACACTTTAGAAATGCATGTTCTTTTTTGAGCTAAGGATCAAACAATTTATATCTGATTTTAAACACAACGTTAGCTGAATGTGCTGGAAGCCTATTATTATGCTAACATAATAACTTTTGTTAGCTTAAGATTTGAATTTTGAGTTACCAATTTATAAATAAATAAAAATATAATTACAATTCAGAATATTTCAATTCTTAGAAATTGGCATTCATCAACCAATGCAAGTAATGCTGAGATTCCTACTTTATTTCAATTTATTTGTTACTGAACGATTCTAGAAATAATTCAATGACAATGGCTGCACACTAGTTGTCTGGACTATCGACGTTACACTGCACTATAATGTTCAGAATTTTTGAAACAGGCAGATATAAACCCAATTGAAACGATTGTAGCAAAATACATTGCTATTCATATTATTACCGATTCAAAGCTGAAGTAAAGTTCGACGAGAAAGTTCAAAGGATATGCCAAGCAACTGTTGAGAATTTCAAAATACACAAATCCGCAACACATTTCAAACTTATTCATAATTTAATGATTTATTCAATTGTAAATATATGTAATCTTCTACTTTCTATCTTCAAACAAACAAAAAAATAAATATATTTATTGGATGGAGGGAGCTTCAGAAAAGGTAGCTAGCAAATAATGAGACTTTGAATGAGGAGAATTGCGGAGCGGGATGACAATTACTTTTACCCATCTCTATGGAGAGCTCGGACATAGTGGATGAGTCATGTGCTGTTCCTTGGTTTCGAATGATTCCTTCAGGCTTACATTGGAAGCCAATGCCATTGCAATTGAGCACATATAACATAGTATATTGGCCACATGTGGCCTGCGGCGATGCACATGCTCGTATAGCTTCAATCGTTTCTGAACCATTGCCATCGATTGGCGCAGAAAGGCAAACCGAATGCAAGCGTCGTTGCCAAAACCAAATGCCGCACAAAGCGCGCATCGAATACGGTTGAGTGGAGAGAAAATAGTAATCTAAGCTGAAATCCTTCCCCTTCCCCCTCCCCCTGAAACACTTAGACACTCACCTGTATCGCATGCGCTCGTGTGGAAAGACGCTGGCCTGGTACTGCTCCTCAAGCACGGGCGAATCGAATTTAGGATCCAGCCAGGACTGGGATGCGGCGCGCTCAAAAGCCACCGGCAACATGACGCTGCAGCACGAATGGCGACGGCCAGTTTGACTTAGATAGGTTTGGATATGCGGTGCCAGGGCGATTTGAATGTCATCGGTGGAGCTGGCGCGACTATCGTTGACTAGAACGCCCGGTGGCATGGCGGAAAAGCTTACCGACTGACGACGCGACTGCAACGAGAGAGAATAGGGAAAGAGCCAAAGGTGAGAAGAGAAAACATGTTATGGAATGTGGCACGTTCTTGGAGGAGCTGAATGTGACTCCACTTAAAGGTCAGCTCATGAATCAGAATAATATGCTCATTCGGACTATACTACAATCTAAGATATTCTCTGTAAAACAAATGATGTAAGTATTTCATACGGAGTCAATAGACTATGTATAAAGTGATATTTAATAAAAAAAAGAAGCATATTCAATCAATATATATATAAGCCTTATGACCACACGATTTGGATTAGAACATAAACCGCTTATACTTGTATATATTTATGTTTTTTACAAGAACAAGCTAAAAATTTACCTGCTCTTAATTCTAAGTATCAGACAACACATCTTTATTCCTCCATGGACATGGGCCGCGGACTATTCATATATACTTTACTGTTCCGCACTATCTTATCTGCCTTTAGAATGTATATTTTACCTATTTTGCATTTTCTCATTCATGCTTAAGTTCCTGGTGCACAACCATCAGATTTGACTACAACATTCTCAGTATGGAATTTGGTTCCCATATCTTTATAAGCCACAACCAAGTTATCCATAGAAAATAATTTTTCTAACACCTATCGTTCATATGACAACTATATGTGTATGATATAGTGATCTGAGGTGGTCCGTCGCGACATAAATATTATTTGTGTCCGTTTAAAGAAAACGTCGACGCAAAGTTTCGTCGCGAAAGCGCCAAAAAACTGTGGGAAGAGTAGTGTTTAACAGACAGGTGGACATCGCTTTGAGAATATGTATCTGTAACGTACAAGTATGGTCTAAAATGGTGGTGAATTGGTAGGAGAAATGTCTCCTACTGGGTGCTACCAACCCTACTATTATACTTTTCAGCGCAGGGTTAACAATTAACTTAGCAAGCTTGCCGAGCTAACTGCTGCGATTATCATCCTGTTCCTTCAACTATTGGTGCACCTGCGATGTGGGTTATATATGAAGAAGAGGACAAATTTTAAAAGTGCGTTCACAGCCCACAAAATGTGCAATTACTTGTATAGTATATTTGTTAGCAGTTAACCAGTTCAGTTGATGGCTATAAATTGGTTCGGCGCATGGGTAAGAGGGAATAGTTGCTGTGGTTCTAAAGTTCACTTCGACCCGTTATGCTGATAATAAAATAGAAACATATACGCGTATGTATGGTTTATGGAAACCACTACGCTGTACTCTATAGCGCTCTGGGTGGAGGATATCGACAGCTATTCATGTTAATATTATTTTCTGTACTGATTGCTGCTCTAAGATAAGAAAACTTTTGAACTATTATAATCTATCTAATTGTTTATCGTTGAACAAAATTGCACACTTACGTTCTTAGCTCTTTTAAAAATAGAGTCATTATGAAGCGTTAGGAAAAATCAAAATATAAGTTGAGTTGAGTTCCTGTTTCAATAAAAAGGGAGAAGTTTAAGTTGAAGTTTATAAGACAGGGAGCGCCCTTCCAAATCTTAATTGCTTTTGTAAGTTATTTAAAATATACTTGTAGACTTAGTAGAAACTATCTAATTAAGCCCCCTCGATAATTCCAATTATATCAATAGAAGCGGCTGCAGGACGTGATATTCAAATCTTATTCTCTGTTATTTGCAACTCTATGGAAAGGAGAAGTTTAAAAAAAGCACCCTTCAAAGTGTTAGTTGCTTTTGTAAGTTATTTAAGCCCCTCGATAATTCCAATTATATCAATAGAAGCGTCTTCATCGATTATGGAGGTAAGGACGTGATATTCCAATCGTATTCTATAAAGTATTATTTGCAACTAAATAGAGAGGAGAACTTTAAAAGACAAGGAGCGAGCTTCCAAATGCTAGTTGCTTTTAAAAGCTATTTAAAATATAGACATACTTGTAGTAGAAACAATCTATTTAAGCCCCCTCGATATCCCCAATTATATCAATAGAAGCGTCTTCATGATATTCAAAGCGCAATTCGTGCAAACGGAGTCCGACTATTAGGTTTTTGGGAAGAAGCATGATGCAGATTAGTGTTTTCATTTAAATTTCGTTGTAGCTCGGTGCGTGCGCCTCCAAGTATGCAATGGCACTGCACCACACCACATTTTGCACAGATTTCATAATGCCAAGGACCTCACACACACACACACACCCACACACACACACACACACACACACACTCACAGTGTAGCTACTGGATATGCATTTTCCGCACGTCCTTCATCTTTTGCCATTTGCGAGCCAGTTGGTGTTTCTGTTCGTTGTCCGTTGTTCTTGCTGTTGTTGTTGTTGTTGTTTTTGTTTTTGTTAAAGTTGTAACTGGGTCAATGCAAGTTGGGCAGGTCGCGTTTTTGTTTTTGCCTTCGATTCATACGCCTGCCTACCGCTACAAAGCGCTACAAGTTTGCCAGAGCTGATGTGAATGCTGACGTTGACGTCGACGCTGAAGCCGACGCCGAAGCCGACGCCAACGTTGGGGGGAAGCAGGCGTTGACCGTGTACCTGACTTGTTCAGTGGCTAAGTGGCTCGGAGACTGTAAAGCTGTGGCGCTGACTGACTCGCTGACTCGCTGGCTGGCTGACTGACTTGCCCATCATCGCGTATAATCTTGAGATCATGACAACCTGATAAGCCACAAAAGCTGGAGCGAATCTTTCACAAATTGCGCATACGCCGCGTAGCCGAAAATAGCTTCGCTCACCACTTAATAGTCCTAATGAATCTTTTTACGATGTTGTTATCGCGACGCGCACGTCACGCGACTTAACGCTGCTCGTCTTTGCCAAGCGCGTTGATTTTGGGCCAGGCCAACAATCTTATCGCCGTGCAAATAGGCTTAAGAAGCTCCGACTACTCCGACTAGACCATACATAGTTGGCCTTTTTATCTAAAATAACAAGGGCCGCAAGCAAATGCCGCGCGTAGGGTGCAGAGTGCAGCGTTTTGCGACAGTAGAGGACATCGCATCAAGTCTTATAAATTATTGCACATCAATCACACATAGACGCATATGCTCCCAAAAATTTGGTACGCCCACACGCTAAAAAAATACAAATGAAATCGCTAATTCAATAATAAAAGACCTCCATATATTCCGTTTCATTAGAAGTCGCTAAAAACTGATGCCAAAAATAGACTGCTGCAAAAATATTTACATAAATATAACCGAAAGAAATAGCAGTCGCCAATAGTAGAGCCAACCAAGAAACGAAAGTTATTAACGATTTGCCGGCTCATTAGCGTTGGCAGCATCAAGTGCAGTGTAATTAGAAATTTTGACAGCCATGTCAAGCGACAAGGATTCGTGTTGAGAGCGAGAGTGAAGGCGCATTTCATTTACAACCGATTCCGCTCAATATTCCGATTCGGCAGGCAAAGCCTACTCCTAATTAACGCTGAAATTCGAAATTTTGTTTTTGGCAACTGAACGATTTACGTTAATCCCCAAAACCCCACTCTCCAAATTAAGTTGTAGTGTGTCGTTAAATCGATTTGGCTATACGTGTAAAAAACACAATTACAATTGAATTTAAATTTTTAAAGTGGAAAAAAAGGTTAGAACAGGCCAACATTTTTATTTTCAGCAATAACTCCTTTTATGGGTAGAATTCATCATCATTAAAAAGTTTTTTTTATTTATATGAATAGCTTAAGATGTGGAGTCTGTGATTGGAAAACATGAAAGAACAAACTATAAGCTTACACAGGACATGATTTCTGGTCTTCTACTTATATTCGATTTGATGACAACACCCAAAAATCGACATTGCTTTATAAATCATGGACACTTTTTTCGCAATTCCATAAAGTTTACTAATATTTCCATTTGGCTTACTTAGAACTTTATTCTCTTTCTTTTTAAGTTCTTGTGTATTTGGCACAATTGTTCCTCATAATATTTTTCTTATGGTCCAATCCCTAATCAAAAATCATGACTACTTTTAGCTCGCAAGTTAGAAATTGCAATCTCAACCTAAATAATTGCCTGAAATCATATAATTAAACCTATTTTCTATCAATCATATCTGAATAGCTAAAAAAAGCTACGCCTTTATATTGTTAACAGATCCCAATCCCACTTGATTTTAATAATTAATAATTAAAAGTGTTTTCCCAACCGCGCTAAAAATAACAAAGCGTACCATTATCATTTGTACGTGTGTTATTGCTCAGAAATAATCGAGTATTAATTGTCTATAAGCATAACATATTATTACTTCCATAAAACTATTAACACGTTGGTTAGTATCAAAACAGCAATATCAGTTTTTGTATGTAAAACATTCTATGTATATAAATCAAAATATAGTTCAGAATAGGATTAAAAGAAAGTCTGAAACATGCCAACTATTTTGAAATATGGGCCGCTTGTATTATTATTATTCAGATAATTCTTCATTAAGATAAATCGTGTTATGTTGAGTGAAAGGACATTATTTTACACTTGAAGTTAAATTGAATTGCCTGAAGATAGGTCCTGCGTACTTCCCTTGAAATCTGGCGCTCAGTTAAAATTTGGAAAAAAATGTGCTGTAGGCAGAGGGCCGTAGGCAACAGGTGGCCCCAAAAGCTTAATAGTGCTGCCTATTTCCAATTCTCTGCCTCTCCCTCCCTTTGTGACTGGCATTTGAAATATCTTGCGCAAGTTTTTTGATGTTTTTTTTTTCATATTGCGATTTGTCCGTTTGCCTATGCGTTCGGGTGTCCTTCCGTTCTTCCCCTTCTGCTTCTGTCCCTTGGTTGGCCAAACTTTGCCACAATTCGAGCCAGAGCCTTTGATAAACTTTGCACAAATGGGTTTCGAGTACATGGATGAAATGTACGTGCATGTGAGTGAGTTTTTACTTTTGATTCTTTCTTCTCTCTTCCGTTTGCTCCGCTTTGTTCCCTTTTTGCTGCAAATAGTCGAGTGTGTGGTCGGCCATTGAGTGGAAAATGGCGAGTGGAGATGAACATCATCATAATCATCATCATCAGCATCATCG